CTCCAGAGACGAAGTAACCGGTGGCGTTCATGAATACGTGTTCATTATTTATGAGCAACGCCTCTCGGCATCAACTGGACCGGCCTCTCTATCTACCGGTAGGCACCCGGGAGAGAGGAAGGCACGACCGGATAACGTATTACGTCTTCATATTTTTTTCCTCTCGTGCACGCCCGGTAATTAAAGGTGCCCCGCCAAGGACCCGGATGATTTACCGGCGATGCTGCGCCGGTCTGATAAGATGGGACCGGTTGATAACGAGGGCTTCTTTCGGTATATCGAGAGCAGGATCGAGCACTAGTAGAATATCCCGTCCTTATAATATCGTGCAACTTCTGGCTACCGCGCGATCGAGTTATCGTGTATTCGCGTATTCGCGCGCGCGTCGCTCAGGAATTTTACATCAACGACATAGCGGACATGTATCAAATTAAACTACGGCATTACACGGCCGTCTTGGGAATAAATAAAATAATGTCTTATGTATAAACAATTTTTACTATTATTGTTGGAATTTCTAATATTCGTAAAAATGCTATAAAATTAGTTTGTCGCGGCAAAATATCAAACTATAAATATCGTTACTATCTGGCGAACATATGCGCCGATCGTTATATTTTACTGCAACGTTTACGCTATTTTATACATGATTGAAGATACTTCTCAATTTTTGCTGATAAAATAGTTACGTCTAGCCGATCAAAAAACATCGTGATTCTGAGGTAAACATCCGCGGCATCGTCGGCAGGCAGCGCCGAGAAATCACGATAAAAAAAGGCAACTCGCGGCATTCCCTTTTCTCATTACGGTATGCTGGATCAAAAGTGCTCATATTTCATAGACTTGTTCTGGCGTGCCGCACGAGAACTCCGATGGCCTCCGCGCGCGCGTACGGAGAAGTTACGGTCCCGTTGAGTGGAGAAATTTACGTTCGTCAGCAAAACGAGAATCGCCAGAGGAGAAGAACGACGATGACGATGGCGAACGAGGTGGACGAAACCGGTGCTCGATGATGATTTCGACGATTTAATTGAAACGTCCAGCCGGCACTAAAATCCCCCCACTGGCCTCTCTCCCTTCGCGCGCTATCTCTACCGCACTTCTCATCTCCTGCCACTCCTTTTCGCGCTCTCTGTTTCTCCCGACGATCCGCGCGATCTCTCTCAAGGAACATCTTGTATTAGTGTTTTTTTCGAACGGAGCCATAACGTTGCGCCGAAATCGGTAAACTCGCCGATGCTGATGTGTGAAATCGATTAGACACGACTTTATGTGCGTGTGTCGCCTTAAAAGAGACATTCTCGCAAAGCCATAAAAACCGAAAAGTACTTTTTCGGCTGATGTTTTCGATAAAATATGTAAATAGGAAGTACGGTCTTCTTCTAAGTTCCGGGATCATGCGGTATCGTTAAGTGTTACAGAAGATACAACGCAATCGACCAATTCAGTGTTTCACTATAAAAATAAACGTTTGATAAAGATGATCGTAAAAAGAAACGGATTCCTCGCCTCCGGATTCCCGAGATCGATAGGTTCGAGAAGCACCGCTGCTCTCAGAATAATCTGAGCGGTGCGGCGCGCGGCGCGGCCCCGATGAATTTTTCTGGCCGAAGGAAGTTTTATTAGCCGTTTGATTTACGGCGAGCTACGGCCGGCACGTAATTTGTTGCGCTGTATTTAATTTGCCTTAAAAACGAGCATGGGATAAAGATGGCGCGGTGAGCAAAGGACGAGCCAGCGAACCAACACGCGACTCCGCGAGAGGCATAAAAGAATGATAACGGGTGCAGCTGCTTCACCGGAATTTTTATTATAATGTATGTCGGCAACAAACGCACGACGGATGTTCCCTGATGAACCGCGCATATATCGATTTTCCCTGTATCGACGTTAACATCGAGATAGAGCCCGGAATTCATTTGCCGCCGCAACCCGATTTACTCGTCAACAGCTGTCCACGGCGAGTCGTCTTCTCTCAAGCGCAGGAAATCTCAAAGCCAACGAACCGTCGAGGAACCGATCGATAATCTCCTCGAGCTACGTCTTCTTTTCTCTTATTCTCGCTTGTTCGGCCTGTTTCTCTATCGCAATCGATCGTTAATTGAAAGGGATGGCATGAAATTTGCTATTTTCAACGATTCATCGTCCGCAGTACGTCGGTCGTCCGTATAATTATCGATAATCCCAGTTAATTTTGTGTAATTATCTGTGATAGCATAAATATTGTTGCAGTGGTCGACTAGTTAAGATGGTAGTAAAGTTGACATTGTTTTATGCGATCTTGCAACTTCTTATTCGAAGTTTTTTTTGAAAGACTGCAATTAAGTCAAAGAAAATTATTTCTCGGTATTCTGTAAAAATAATATTGAGAAATGATTGACCTTTTTATTAATTACAACATTAATAAATAAAATAGTTTTGATTAAATATCGGTTTAAGAAATAAAATATAAAATTCAAAAAAAAGCTATAAAAAAGCCAGAGCTAGAACTCTCTAGTTGCTCAATAAATTATATTAATCATTTATTGAGCAACTAGTCTCTGGCTTTTTTATAGCTTTTCTTGAATTTTATATTTTAATTTAGTTTTTATATTAAATAAAAGTCCAAAGATTTTTATTTTTATTATTATTGAAATAAAATATATTAAGTATTACGATCTTATTCTTTTTGTCACAAAATTAACTTGCGCAATAAAACAATCGAATGTTACAATATATGGAGAAAGCAGCGAGCGAGTTTCTATCACTCTACAAATGTGAGTTATAATATTTTAAAATAGAAGTTATAGCCAAATTTAATAAATATTAATCGTAACAATGTGTTAAAGATTATCAAACAACGAACCAATGCCGCGCGCCCAATTCCCGAGATACGCAATAACGATATTCGACATCGCAACTACGATCGGTAAATTAAGATGGAAGAGGGGCTCCCGAGTTTTTCGGATCGTCGAAAGGCCGTGTTCGCGCCGATTAATATCGCCGGCTGTGCGCGATACGATAAACGAGATGATAAATACGAACACGTACGATTATAAACCCGCGCGCGCGAGGTTACGCCGCGAGAGATACCGATGAATCAGCGGTGGTAAAGGTCAGACGGATGAACGTGCACTTGAAAGGTCAAGGCAAGAGGCAGGTGTCGAATGGTGGCGTCGGCAAAAAAATTTATATAAGCGGAACGGTCAGTCATGCCAGCTTCAATCTGACCGCTTTAAAAGTTCCGCGATGATGAGTTCATGCAAAAATATCTAACTACACAATAAAATCTGCTCGCGATGACGTCACACGGCGAGAATTTGAAGATTGAGACATGTATCGGGTTTCCACCGTATCATTCTCCGACGATTTCTTTTACGTTTGTCTAACATTTCGTCGGCTATCATCAATCGTATTCCAAAGAAATAAAAATTAATTTACGACAGATAAACAGGCGACATTTTAACACGCGGAAGAGTCTCCTGAATTCGAAGAGATACGGTGACGACTTATTTAACATTCCTGTGAGACGCGCGAGACGACCTCATTCGAGCAATATATAAGCGACATTTAATTAAATGTTAAAACGTGTTATGACAGCGCGATCATTTTGCATAGAATATGTCGTCGCGGTTCGTCGCGCGATGATGCTTTTCCATCAGAACGGGCGTTGGAAAGAGGTGAGTTGCATCGTGCCAACGAAATACGAACACCGCCGGTGCTTATCAAGTATTTTTTCGGCGCTTGAAATCCGCAATTTACGGCGCGATTTTTGGCATTAATATTCCGCCGGGCTCACATGACGCAGCGCGCTCTTCATTTTCGTTTATCGCCCGCGCGCCAACGCGCACGGATATTTAGGGCCTAATGTAATCCAATAATTTATCCGGCGGGAGAAGCGGGAGAGCGTAGGTAGAAATGTAAAATCCTCCAATTTAGGCTGGTAGTTTATATGATGCGGAGAGCGCGTCGCGTCCGATGGAAACGTCCAAATCTCTCCTCTCGATGTTAGATCGATAATTTATACGCGCTCAACGCGGACACCGAGGGAAATTTAAAACGTCACACTTAACGAGTAAATTTATTTCCAGAAATTAAGGAAAAGATGTGAGCATCATCTCACGATCAACTCGCAGTACCTTAAAATAGATATATTACGTATCAATAAATTACGTATCAATTTCGGGAAAGTCGTAATTGAATGGAAAGCGAATATGAATATAAATCAAGCATGAATATAAATGGGAGGCTAAATATTTGTGAAAAGCCCATTACATAAGCACGTTTGGACAGCGACACATGTAGAAAACGGTCCGTCAAGATTTTTCTAATGCACAGTTGCGACTTGTAGAATAGAGAACACAACGACTTACATAAGTAAACTGTCAAAAATAAGTGTTTCTTCTGAAAAGTAACGCTAAAAATTAATAATTTATAACTGCAAGAGATACTTGGTTTGTAAGCCAGCAAGATGTTATGCAAGATCTTAATATCGGTATCTTGCGAATCTTACTGTCAGATATTATTTTACTTTATTTTACTAATTTATGATCCAATTATTCTTCTTATCGTTAATCACAAATTGCCAAATTACAGTTTCATTTTCTTACAAAAAGTATGCGAATACATAGGCTATTTATATGTCGTTGGTCGAACATTCACCATGGGAACTCGAACGCACCGAAAATCCTTGAGGAAATCGTCGGTGCTTATCGGCGTGACGAAACCGCGGCACGCATAATCGCCGCGGGAAAGAGGTAGCGGAGCGCAGAACGCACGGAGGGTGGTGAGCGGGCGAAAGGAGAGGAGCGACGGGGGCACGCACGGTGCACAAAGTGCAATTTCACAATTTTTGCCTCGTAAAATGCGAGCAATGAGCGATGTAAAAATGAATAACTGGAGAAGCGTTCACCCGCGGAACGCCAACGAGTCGGTGGTGTACCTTTCGCGTTTTCTCTCCGGCTCCCTCGATCGTCTGTCTCGCTTGTGCCAGTTTCGTCGGTGGTGGCTGCTAGAACGATTTTTATCTTCCGGGTAGAAAAGATTATCTTTATTTACGAGCAATCTGCGGTATGGGCAAATTGTTTGGGAACGAGTTGAGGGGCCGCTTATTTAAAAGCCGTAAACTATTCAATACGCGGACTCACTGAGGTCCCTCCGCGCAGCGAAAGTGTGAGAATGCGTATGTGCGTCGCGGTCGGAAGTGATCTCCCGCGGGACGAATGCCAAACGTGAACGAGAGCTGAGAGAAGCGGCACTTCTCGGCGTGGCAGTTTTTCTCCTGCGCTTGTTTAAGAAATATGATAGCATTGAGCGTGACAAATAAGTACCTATGTATATGTGGTAGTAAAAAAAAGTGCTCGTGCAGCTCGCCGGAGAAAGATGAAAACAAACGGAAACGCAGTCGAGCAGATAAGTGAAGCATCACGCGCGAAGAGGATTCGATGAAAAAAGTACGCAAGATCGCTGGCCGGCGCGGAGATTTCTATATCTGTGTAACACTATCATGACTCCAAATGACATAGCAGCCAACAGCGGCGTTTGCAACGGCAAGACATTTTCCGTTTTTTAAACAAAGATAATGCTCCGCGTCAAATGCTTCCACCGTGGAATTTAATTTTTTTTCAAGCTACACTGAAGTAACGGCCAATCTAATTTCGAGTCAAACGAGTAAACAACAACTTTAATACTTCAAGAACGAAGGTAGGAAAAACTTGCATCGCGTGAAATGCCATTTGAAAATTCCACAATTCTGAATCAATTTCAATCGTTGGTCCAAATTGTCCATATTCTCGACGTATTCTCTGTCGTAAGACAAGCTGTCGTCAAAAGAAGTGCGGCGGAATTGCAATTCGAAAGCTGAGTAAGCTCTAGAAATGAAATACAATTAAGGAAACCAGAAAGAGGCGTAACGTCGTAAAATGCGAGACGCGCGAAATGCTACATATCGACACTCGCGAACTGCACCCAGGATTAATAATGTCGGCGTGCCGGTCGTCGAGAAACGGGCGAGAGAGAGGGAAATGCAGGAAGAGACGAGAAGGAAGATGAAGAAGAAGAGGCAGAAGAAGACGAAGAAGAAGAAGAAGAAGCGGGAGAGGAGAGGCAAGGTAGAGAGAAGAGCAACAAGAGGTGCAGCCTCGGGTGCCGGGCGGGGCTCAGATGTTTATCCCGGTCGACCTCTCTTCCCCCCGGTGCCCCTCTTCGTGGTCCCCGATGTTGCCCCCTTCACCTCCGATTCTTGCGGAGAAGGAGCGCGCCCTCGGCAATCCGGTGTTGCGGAGCGTTGCATCTACGTTATGCGTGCTCTTGTTGCTCGGATGCACTCACAGTGGCGTCGCAACCGTCTCCGTTCTCTCCGATCTGGCGAACGGAAATATGACAGGCTCGATTGCGAACGAAAGCTCCTATTGCACGCATTTTATAAACACCGGTACATCGTATAGAAACTCGAAAGATTAACAGTCGGAGAATTTCGATGCACAAATCGAAACTGTGAATAAATTAGCGAATGTTACCCCCGAATATATTATTTAATTAATATACTAATTTCTGTTGTTGTAATATTCATTGATTAGTAGTTAATATTGCGCGGTGTATATAAATTCTAATTATAAGCTTTTCGGTTTTAGTAGAGTTTTAAACAGTTTGGTATTCTGCCTGCAGCTAGCATAGAAATCTTTCATTAACACTTCTATGATGTCAAACAGGCTATTAGTTGCGTTATTTTAAGAAGATGTAAGGCTGCTGAAATTAGCGCATTTTTGAGCGATCTTTTTCTACCGTTAAACGCTAATTAACTCAATATACAAGTAAATTGATGCGATAATATCGATTATGTTTGAGGATATTTTCGGAATGTGCAAAAATTTTCAGGGAAGGAGGTCAGCTCGAAAAACTTGGGCATGACATCGCGGAGAATGATGTAGAACGGCTCGGTTCGACAACCGTATCGATCGTAATCGAAACGACCGGAAAGGAGACCGGAGCAGGCTGAGGTCTTCGGCTTGTGACGAGGCGTCGGACGGTCGGCACACTTGCAAAAAAGCAACGTTAATCAGACACTTCGTATCGCCTGTACTCAGCTCCCGGTGAGCCGAGCGATCTAGCTCACAGCAGGTTCTTCGCGGCAAAAAATCGATGAATGAACTTACGCCAGAGCGGATGCTTCGCGCTCGAGTTGACCGGCGACGGCGCGGTTTTACGAGTGTCCATCACGCATATCTTCATCGTTATTTGTTAAAATACGATGCTTTTCGCTTCCTCGAAGTTAAAACTTCATACGTAAAATGTAATCTAAATTAAAATAATTAAGAAGAAAAGGTGGAACTATATTAATATATTGCACGCGTTTTACGTCTATAAAGTTAATCGTTCAATTATAACTTAATAAAAATAATTGTTTAGTTTTTTACGCTTCTTTGAGTTCTCGAAGTAAATGAAATACTTGAGATATATCACTGATCGTAACTTATCATCGTCCGATAGCTTTACTTTCTCTGTTTGTGTTAAAACTAAGTTAATTTCTGTCAAATAAATTATATTCTTCGTCGAACAGTAGTCTAATCTTTTCAATGCATATGTATGAAACACGGCTCGCAATTATCGCTTCGCAATTAACTTCAGCCACCACGAGTTAATCTCCTTTCCGACCGCATCTCTTACTTTATCTTTCTGCCATCGTACCTTCTCGGTATTAACACAATAATACAATTATTCTTCGGCGTTGGCGATTCCTTCTGCGCGGACCAACGCGGCGATCGGCCGATCTATCGATCAATGACAACACCGTCGCATACAAGCGCAAACGAATCGAAGCTAATCATCCGCCAACACCGTGCGCGCGGCGGTTCCATCGCGATAAGCGCCCCGGCGGAGAGTTCGAGGCGGAGAGCTACGACTCCGATCGTGAATCTCTCTTTCTCTCTCCTAGAGATTCGTCCGTAGGATGGTTTCATCGAGCACGTATTCCGCTGATGACGCACTTCCGGCCAAGTGAACCCTCGCGGTGGCCCCCGTGATAATTCCGGAGGATCGAGAGAGGAGCGAGAGAGATCCATCCACCGTGACTCCGTGGCCCCGTGACGACCCCGAAGAGATGTTTGCTCTTGTTGCGGTGCTATGCGCCGTAGCGACCGGCGGCTGTATGGAAGTGCAAGAAGAAGAAGAAGAGAAGATGAAGGAGAAGGAGGAGAAAGAGAAAGGGAGCAGAGAGAAGGAGAGAGAAAGAGGAGGGCAAGGCGAGGAGGATCAAGGAAGAGCAGCGAAAGGAGCAAGAAGTCGACGCGGTGATGAGGTGGGGCAGGCCAGGGAGGGGGACGAGGGGAAAGAAGGTGGAGGACGGGTCTTGATCCAACGCCTAGCCTCCGAAGGAGCTCGCTCGAGCGCCTGATGTGGTAGCGGTTCGCTCATCATTGTAATTACTTCGCGAGGATGTACCAGTATATTGGATCATTATCGACCGCTCCATATCTACCACCTAGCTCATAAGTATAGACTTATGCTCCCGGTGCGCCCGGGCGGCGATCTGCGCGTCTCTCCTCTCTCTTTTTCTCGCCCGTATGTGTACGCGCGTGTACCTATATACGCGAGAGTGCGTGCGCGGGGACACCGAAGGAGAGGCGAACGGAGGAGGCGACGGGGGAGGAGGGGAAACGCACGATCGGGGCACGTACCGGCTAACGACTCGTTCGTACGGCTCTCTGATCAAACAACCGCGGCAACCGGAGCAGCTTCTTAAAGGGCCCCCGCGAGTGTCGGCGGAGAGACCCCATTCTCGCGAGCATCCGTTTTCGCGGAGGGCGATGACAGTGGCGTAAACGGATGAGCGACGTTGATAAATTTCGTAATATTTCATCTACTGCTCCGCCCATCCTAAGCTCCGCGGCATTTCTCGGTTACAGTTCGAGGAAAAGAAAAATTGAAAAAATCATGATGCAATAAAAACATACGGAATAAATCATTTTTTTAAACTTGTCTACAAAAAACGTGGATAATTTGCGGATGAAAATTTCCGAATGTAATAATACTTTTATTGAATATAATTCTCTTGTTCTCAAAATATATTTGAATATCATATTTTATCCCGAAGAATATTTGATTTATAGATTTATTTCAAGAATGCCTGTAACATCGATCGATAGTTTGATGAGCTTTTAAAGAGCTATTAATATACATAAAATTCATAAAACATTAATGCGTGTAAAATTATTAGTTGCGAGATGAAGTGTGCATCGCAATAAGTATATGCCGCACACCGGAAGCGATCACTTGTACCGTGGCTGATCGATTAAAGGATATAGCGCAGTAATTGTCGTTACGCGGTGATCTATGGGCTATAAAACAGAGCTATAACTGCCTACTTTTATTGAGAAAAAAGAGAACTCTTATGCTTTTAATGTTGTGCTAGGATCTACATCCAAACTCAAAACTCTAACCTTAGCGAATAAAAAGCTATATTTTTATCAAGTTTTTATTTCCATTACAATTTTCTATTGTATTTATTTTATTATTTATAAATTATCACCTAAGATCAATAATTTGATTCGTTTTTTTAAATTCTGTTAAAGATTTTAATAAGGGAAGAACAGTTTTAACAAATTATTTTTCTGAATACACAGGATATACATTTGCGTTAATCGTTTATAAACTAGGAGGAAATCCGTTTACGCAAGTGTACTCAGCGTGGAAGTAAACGGAAGAAATTTGAAGGAAACATTAATCGCGGGGGAACGTAACGAGGTTAGTTAATTGCAGAATAGAATACGTTATATGCGCCGGAATCGCCTGATTATACAAGCGTTGATCTATTAATGTATATTGAACCGCAGTTATCATTACGCAATGATTTATCGCCTATAAACTGGTACAGTAATATTTATTTAAGCGCATATCCGCGACAACCGAAGAAAATTACTTTATGTCATATGCACTCGCGGACATTAACGGACATCCATTATCCTCTCTCTTCTGAAATAAACAACCTAAACTAAACACCTCGCACGTTGCCTGAAAATCATTTCGCGTCATAGAATCGGCCCTTTGGAATGCCGTTGAAACTTGATAGCGAGGCTGTCGGTCCATGCGACGCGACCACGAAAAAGGACTAGGCTTCCACTCGAATGATAATCGCCGCCGACACACGGTCAACACGTCTCGAAGTACGCCTTGGCGTCTTCTTCCCCCCTCGCTTCCCTAAGAACTTTGCAGTTTACTTGACTTCTTTATGCTACGCCGTTTCTCGATTCGATGCTTGGTCGCATCGAGGAAACATAAATCTCGGCGAATGTCACGCACGCGCGAAAATTATGGCAGCCGGAAAAAGGATTCCTCGGCATTAAAAGCATCGAATTTGCATCAAAATAAAGCTTCGTGGAAAATAATGCTGATGTGTGTAACAAAGCGTTGCTGTTAAGAAAGTTACGATTACGATCTAGATGTACATGAATCAAATAGCAAAAAATTTTAGATGATTTGTTAAACACAGAAAGTTGATCTCAGAGATACATATTCCAAGTATGAAATTAAAATTGCTGCTCGGAACAACGCTGTTTCGTTCAGTATTTATTCCGTTCAATACCGCCGATAAATTGCTCCGAGTTAAATGCACGTACGAAGATTCCCGACGAAGATGTGTCGTCCGTCTATCTCGTATCTCGAAAAGCAACAGGCGCAAGAGCCAGGCACTCTCGCATTCCCCGGGACCTGCCAACCCCGCGACCCGGCACGACCGTTAGACCGGAATCCAAATCGAGGATCAGAATCCTGCAGGCCGGGACGGCCGGTCGCGGGATCGATCCGGGACGCGCAACGGGAGCCCGCGGAGGAAGGAACGGGAGCGTATCGAGAGATGCAGGCTTCGATAATCCTTCAGGGTAGGTCGGTGCACATCGTGCTCGCCGAGTCTTGCCTATCGGAGAGGTGAGGCGCTCTCGACACGGAGGAAGGAAAGGGGCATCCTTCTCCCCGCTTCCCTCCCGCTCCGTCCCCCCCACCGCCCCCCTCCTTCTCGCGCTCTCATCGTCCGCGTTTTCGCTCCCGCTCGCTCTCCCGCGGCCGACCTACGTGGAGATGCTCAGGTGTAAAACCGTTGATTGCCACGGCGCGGTATTTTCTCTTTGTACGGCGATGGTAGCGGTGGGCGTGCCGGGCACGACCGAAGGGAGAGACGGCCAAGGCCTTCCTCATCGCGCGCTACCGCGATTATGTTTATTATACTTCGGCAGACGCGTGTGCGTACGTGCGCGTACTTACATACGGTCCTCCCCCGGCCCTTCGTACGCGCGCCACGGCATCCTCCTCGTCGCGAACGTGAGGACGCACCGTGTTCTGCAGTCGGAGTGAATGGCGATAGCTACCGTGAGGACGTGCTCGCCCGGACTCGACTTTGTTTTAGAGTCCGCGGAGGCGACACGCCTCGCCTCATGCGAGAGAGAGAGAGAGAGATCACGCCTGATTGCGCGGGTTTAGAGAGGATTGGTCGCGCGCACACGTAGGATTAACTCTCCGTACTCATCTAATGAGTGATCGTGTGCGGAGGACGAGGCTTACAAGAGAAACACAAAGGCGCGTCAACTATAGCGTTAAGAGTTTCGCCCAGAGTGCAATCAATCACAACATGATTAACATTTTAATGTTATTGTGCGAGACACAATGGGTGTAAGTCTCTCGATACAGAGGATCGCATATTTAATAGCAAGTTTACCTCCTCTTCTCTTTGTTATATAATATAAACATGTGATATTAAAAAAATATTAAAATACTTATTTCCTCCGCTAAGGAAAAAAATTTAATTGTTTTCGAAGTATTTTTAATTTTTGTAAGAAACGGCCGGAAGTGATAATATTTTATCTCATTAAGTTGTTAACGACTTAACAGATAGAAAAAAAATATTAGAATATTATTAGAGGCAACATCGGAGTACACTCGAGGCGACTTGCTAATCACGCGTTACGTCCTTTCGTGGCTTCGAGAAGAGATCGATCATCGCGATTCATAGCGACGGTAACGAACTCCGCTCCCGTCATCGGCAATAACGCTTGAGCGTGTACGCGCGTATGACGCCCGAGCGACGCGTCGTCGTCGAGGATGAGGCTGTGTTAGAATTCCATCGAGGTGGAGCCTTGACATTTCGTGGCCTGGAATCGACCGGCATAATTGATCGGCTTCCGCGGCTCCGACGAATGACCATGCTATTCCATTCCGTCCGTTACGGTTACGATGAACTGCGCCTTACGACCTCGCGCCGAGCGACGGAACGCGGCCGCGGCCGGCTCCGTGAACTGGATTCCAGCCTTTCGCGGAACGAAAAGAAGCCGAACCGATCAAATTGGACCCTTAGGAGGTTTCAAATTGCGCGACACCGAGTAACGGCGAAAGAAGAAGGTCGCGAAATTATAGCGAATCAAAGTAATATTGCGGAAGTAACTCCAAGAGTCATAAACGACGTATATTAGATTTTATGTATCTCGTAATAGTTCGTGCCATACAAGTTATATGATACAATATTGACAGGACGGTATAAATGGATACTGCGAGAGATAAAGATAAATTTTATAATAATAAAAAGTTAGATACTCCTATCATTCGTACATATATTATTTCAATATTCGAATATAAAATTATCGAGCAGTTAAAAATATCGTTCATAATTTGCAAAATTTACGTAAATTATCTAAAGGAAGAATGTTATTGCAATATCGTGCAGTGCACCTGATATTCTTTTCGATCCGTTGTCCTGGTATTTCAATGAGCGTCGACGCGAATTCAAGGAGTAACGAGAAAAGTGCCCACAATTTTCAAGCAAAGTGGGCGATACCTATTATTAGAATTGCTCCCACAATGCGTTCCGGCTAAACGGACACGCAGCACGGCAAATATAACGCTCGACGGCGGACAAACGACAAACAAATGCCACGAGTGCTGCAATTTTCTGTCGTTAACGACCGACAGTGCCTTAAATCCGCGTGTGCAAGCGCACCAATAACGGTCGCCTTGGCGTACTAAAAATTTTATAGCGTCGCGTTTATCGACAGGGGAATGGCGTAGGCAAAATCTTGTTTAACAAAATAATGACTACAATTATTCTACTTTACATTTGCCCGCTGCATAGCGCAAACACGATACTCTCTCGCGAGTGGGAGCCGTTGCCTCTCTCCCCTCGGCAATTTACCAGAAGTAATCGTCGATCAAGAAGAGTTATAACTACCGGATTGTCAGCCACTCGCCAGCATTGAACTCGCGTTTTTTTTCCAGCTTCGCCGGCGGCGCGCTGACTAGTTAATGTTTACCGGGCCTAATTGCCCATCTATCATACTACGTATTTTGAATTTCTCACATACTTAGATGTTAAAGTGTTTCATTTTACGAAGTCTAAAAAAGTTACGATGTACACTTCATTACAGTGAGTTAATATAAGAAAAAAAAAAAAACAACATGTAGGCATTTATGATGTCTCGCTAATGGCAATCGAACGCGTTTATGTAGCTCAGAAAATGCACGGATATAATTTAAAGTAGCGCGAACAAGAAGGTCTGTCGCGTCTTCCAGCGATTGAAGATGATTGCACGCGTCTATATTCCTCTCTTCTTCCAAGACCCGCTAATAAAACTCATCTAACCCCGTGCGCGCGGCGCCTGGGGTGCATGGTATAGAAAAAGTCGCTCGCGTGGTTCGTGTCTCGACTCGTTCAATTTACATAAACATGTACTCATTGATTGCCGGACCAGATTGTCCGGCGCGTTATTACTTCTACGACCGGTTAACTTCACCGCGGGACCGCGAATAATCGTTAAGCCCTAATCGCTACGCACGTAACGCCGACCTCGCCCGATAGATACGTGCGCGATGTACGCTCGGTGCGTATGAGCTAGCGTCGTCGGCGCCCACATAATCGCACGAATCAACGGACGATGATTCTAACTTCCGACATTCGAGAAACGACGGCTGTTACGTTACTTTGCTTACATTGAACGCGCGGCCACGATTATCGCGGTGGATTATCGCGGAAGAAACGGCACATCGGCCATAAAATAAATCAAGGATTACGCAGATTGCATAATGATATTTAATATTGCATGAGGAAAAAGCAGCCGTATAGCAAAGATAAGTACTCACCGAAATCATAGGCAAACGAGCCTCCGTCGGAATAGTTGTACAATCCTGAAAAACGAAGAAAACATAAATAGTAGATCCAAAAATTCATTTTTATATCAAGACTTTAGTCGCAATTTCTTCTCTCTTTTTTTTTTACTACTGCATTTTATATCTTTTTCCGACTTCTCATTAATCAAAGTATTCTTATGCATACGATAACTAATCAAGAGCACCCTTTAAAAGGATGGAGCGCGCATCGATCGATCGATCGATCGGCGAGTATCGCGCGCAAGTACCGCGAGTGCTAGATGGTAGTCCGGAGCACCACCCACGAAGCGGGGCTACTTAGCATGCACGACCAGCCAGGAGGTACCTACCTACCTATCTGACAAGGTTAACTAATACAGCTTCCACCGATCGCGCGCGGTCTCTTGATTAGAAATACGTCGATAAATCAGAGAAAGGAAAGACGCGCGGAAGAGCACGGTGCACATCGGAGATAGCCGCGCGAAAGAGGAAGGCGAGGAGAAGAGAAGGAAGAAAGGAGGAAGGAGAGTCACGGAACGTGGCATTCCACGTAATTGTCCCGCTTATAAGCCTGCGGGATAAAACAATGAATATACACAATGACGAACGAGCCAATTGTAAATCCGATGAATTGAAAATTTAGCAAATAAATCATTGATATCAATAAATTACTCAAATAAAAATAATTTACTAATTATACAGTGCTTGCTGTACGATTTTCTACTAATATCTGTACACTAAAATTTATCTCTAACATTGGAATGTATTATTATAATTTTATATCCCTTATTTTTTCGTACATTTATGTGCTTTGAAGTTAATTACTGTGATATGAGATTACTTATTATACGATCCTTTATTATATAAAATAAATACTAAAACATTCGTTTAAACTATCTTAATAATTATAGTACTTCTTCTAGTAGCTCCGACTATAGACATACTGCTTGTTCTGTTATATGCAACTGCGCTTCGTACAAGCACAATTTTATGCGGCGGTAACGAGATAATTAAATGAATATAATCAACGCGCTGCCCCCTGAGTCGTCGTTTAATTGGACGTTACGCCCATCAAAGCACGTTGCTTCCGCTGCGGCGCGGATGCTGCGCATCGCAAATATTTCAGGAAGAGGGAATTTCACAGCGGGAAACTCGCTACTGTAGTTTCTAACATTTACAAATACTTTTCTTGATGTACATAAATGTGATAAATCTGATAAATAATAATTAGGGATCAGATAAAAAGTTTGAATATTTTGTCCGAGTTGCTGGAATAATTCAAATGTAAGCAATTAAAACAGCAAACAGAAATATCGCAAAACATTTATAGAGATATTTCTCTCAATTAGAAAATTACTTTAACAAAGATATGAAAATTTTCCAAATCGAAAAAATGTTATAAACTAATATAACTGGCGTCCTAAAAGTTTTTTTATTATTAAATTAGAATAACTTCTTGCGTGTAAAAGACTTTGTGACTAGTATAGTATGCAAAATAAAAATATCTGCAATTTATTTCTTATATCTCTAAAAAGATTAAAAATTTATATAGCAATAATGGCAACATGTCCACGCGATTTCACCGCGATCGCCACTGATGCAGGTGATTTTCGCGCTTTTTCCGCCGTCATACTTCTCATCGCCGACAACGTGCGCGCAGGACGAGCGCATAATCATTCGCGCGGCCTGGAAAGGCCGGCGCGAATACGCGCATCGAGCGTCAGCAGGCGAGATTCCGCTCGTTCTTACGCGGCGAGAGCATATACGCGAGAGGCCATAGATTACTGTTTTATGCCGCGATGAAACTATCTCTAGGCTAGGTGCGGCCCGGCACGTTCGCCAGCCTAGGCCGACGAAAAGGAAAAAGCCACCGCAGATTTCCCTCGCGCCTCGCGGCGGAACCGCTCAGCCGCGGCGGGCGAGCAACGCTCTTCTAGATGCTTCGGGGCCGCGCAGGTACCATTGGCGGCGCGGCACGGCACGGCGGTTTCAAACTTCAAGCCGCGGTTACGTTCCTTTATCACGATGGTTTTGCCACCTCGCCGCTAGAAAGGAACGCGGCCTCGTGCACTTACCCGCGGATCATAAAATACGCCGTAACCGTAGTATTCGCAGCATGCGCCGGAGGCCTTGCCGATTTATTCGAGATAAAAGAGCGGAAAAGCGTTTCAAGAGAACAGAAAATCTAGAAACATCTTAACTAAAAAAGTTAAGTACTTTATGCATAAGCTACATGCGTGGAACCGGTTGAAAATTATAGAATCGTGACACTTGTAATTCAGCGCAAGTAAATAACTAATTTATTTGTTGATTCTATCTAAATAAATAAAACAAGACTGATCATACTTTACGAAACTTGAATTTCTAGATTATAATCATGATGAAATTGCATTGATAAAAGATAAAATGACTGACAGACATTTCCTCTGCCTGTCCGAGATGTAACATCTAATATCTTAACAGCATAAATGGTTCTATCGAGATAAAACATAATTGATTTTACCGATAATCCAATTTTGCATAAACCACTCAGATAACTTGATGTATCACTTAAGGCCGACCTCTGTACTTAAGCCTTTATCTTATCGCCTATGATGAAGTGTGCGTAATACAGTGCGTTCTATAGACGAGAAATTTATTTCGTGAAAGCAGTACAGTTAGACCGAATCGATCCATAAATTCCTACGCAAAGAAAAACACGCGAGAAGAAACGCGTCCGTCTCTCCCGCATAGCTTCGTACGAGCGTGAAATAATCGCGGGAACGATCACTCGCGATAAAATAGATTTTCTTTTGTGCCGTGACTCACAGTTACGGAGCATTTACATTCGCGCACCGCAACATCAAGAACAAAAGGAATTAGAGCGAACGCGCGAGCAATCGACCCTCTCGCGCGAAGCTCACCCTTCGCTGTGCGCGCTATTCGCCCTCTTGCCGCTTTTGCATGTTTTTGTTAACAAGAACTTTTTTAGTCTGCTCGCGCGTGTCACGCGGGAACAAGAGACACCCACTCGGCGCTCATTAACATCGGCAAAAACGCTTGAAAAGAAAGCGGGCGTCTACATTAGTTACACTGGCATTTGTATATTAAGCACCGCCGATCATAAAGTCAAATATTCTCGTGCCACGCGCAAGCCCGGTAATTTTCCGCGCATTAAACAACATGAGTTTACGTCCCGCAATTCCGTATGAATCTCACGATTTTTGCAAACAGCCTGATGCTCGTAATAATCTGAAAACTGGATAATATTTACTTTTACAAAAATAACAACCTTTATCAACATTACTTCTTTAATTATTATTTTTAATATCTTAATTTTTTTCTCATTTTTATTAATACTAATGATCAACTAGCATTGACATATTTTAAACATTTTTTATTATCTATTTTAACAACCGTATTTTAAATATATTATTTTATTGCAAATTTCTAAAATTCTAAATTGAAAAACAACTATTTAAATAATTGAGATTTACATTCATTTCCATCGAGATTAATTCCCGATAATGTATGAGGTCGGAGTGAAAGGTCAGAGATCGAGGACTGAAGTCGAGAGAAACGTATCGTAACGGATGAAAGACTATAGACGAGAGAGAAACAAGCACGTGGCGTGGGAGTCCACGGGGATGGAGCGAAGGGAATGAACGAGCACGCGTTGTGGGCGGATCTCAAGGAGGTGGTGGAGGTTAAAGAGGCGGCGTTGGTAGGAGCTACCTCAATATAAAACCAGAACTACGAATACCGATTCGTGTTTCTCGTCTTTTGCATCGTGCACACTTTTGTCCGTAATGTGCACATTATGCCTAAATTATCGAAAATGTCAAATTCATTGACGGATCCTTGATTCAGGGTTTCACAGTATAACCGATTGTTAAAAGGCTTGGCAAATTTTTTTGGCTAATTTTAAATATTTGTTTTGAAAATTACATAATGCGCAGAAATAGTACTTTCCCTTTAATATCTTGACGTGAGACTCCGAAAATTGTTAGCTGTAAGCTTCGAAAAGTCACCGCTGTCATACCTCGTAATCAGTCGTTGATTATAGGTTATCAAGATATTCTTTGAAATTTCGATGATCCGACAAAGTATAGAATTAATAAAATTACGCTCGGCGTGATAATTCAGGAGGTGATGGAATCGCACATTGAAACCTAATTTACATTTTCCTACGTATTGAGAGATTGAGGAGGTCTGTAATTGGTTCGTGGAGTAACATGTAATTTCTACGCGAGTTTCACCTAACGAGACCTTTCAGGCTCCGTGGATAAACGTAGGGTTAAGAAACGTTCCGCGTAGCAGGAAATGAAGTACTCAGATAGGGCCTTCTCCGTGCACCTGCGGATAATGACGTGTCGCGACAATTTTCCAGTTATTATGTCTGCCACGGCGTTTCCGGCGAAATCAACGGCAAAAACTAACGAGGTAAACCATAAATCATTCCCCGTCGCGTCGTATCTGGCGGAATCAAATAGTTAAGTTTATTGAGTTAACCCTTTAGAATCTACAAGTATGATGACGAAATAATGTGGCCATTCTATCGTGTCTTAGATAATTTCATCGCAATTTATAACTAATTTTCGGAGAAATTCAGACATGAAAGTGCGTAGAATTTTGAAATCTGTAATAAACAAATTTTATAATAAAAAATTATAAAACGTGATGCGGTTATCGTCAATTCGCTAATCCAGATACTTCCTATGGCTACCCTTTCGAGACGAGATTTACATACGCTTGGCACCAGCCGCGTCTGATTGCTCGTAATTAGCGACGCGTAGCCCGCGCCCACGCCGGGTCACCGGCGGTACGGGACGGACGAAGAAGGAGAGAACGATCCCCGTTAACGAACCGTGGTGTAAGGTCATACACGGACCGGCGCGTGACCCACAGTGTACCTACGCACGTATGCACCTACGCGCGAATGAGATGTATACGCAACCTTCCTCGCCGCGTAATCAAGGGAACGATTCACTCCGTGATTGTAATGCAAGCCGAGGCTACCGACGCGATAGCGATCCTCTTCATTAGCGGCGGTATTTACA